GGTCGGGCGAGAAGATACTCCAGAAACTCTAGGTAAGGCTCGTTGTCTGACTTTTGAGAGTCATCCGGCTTTCCATCCTTGTCTAATTTTGTTCCGCGGCCTCCTGTGGAATAGTACACAACATTGGCAGGATAACCCAAAGCCATTGCGTATTGGACATCAAGTGCAGCTTCCGAGCCGGCGACATTCGCGCTTTGCCGGTTCTCGCCGCCGTTGATGAGCTCGACGCTGAATTCGTAGCCCGTCTCCAGAATCTCGGGTGCGAAACGCTTTATAAACGTCGTGGTGTCTTCTTTGTTGATGTACTCCTCTAGGAAACCCGCAATGCCGAACTTGACAGGCGAGTTCCCGATGGGGGCTGTATAATTGATCTTGTAAAGGAATTTGATACAGATCGGGTCAGTGCCGTCGTTGCAGGGGCTCTTTGATTTACCGGGAGGTATTTTTGGTTTGTCGGCGAGCGGATCCAGCTGCAGTGGCTGGCGGGAGGTGGCCATGAAGTTGGTAACAGGGTGAACAAAGTCGATGGCCGAGGAGATGTTCTCTGGAACTGAGTAAGAGAGAGCTCTAATAACTGGAGCCCCGCCATTGAAGCTGTATTGGTTGAACTCCGTATTAAGAAGCTTCTCGCCGTTTGCAACCGTCGTATTGAAATTGATCCAACTCCGGGATACTTCTAAGTCGACGATATCCTGAGCCGTAAGCCACGAACGTACGACATCCACATCCTCTCGGCTGGCGGCACGGTAATTCTCTACGGATTCTTGAGAGAGACGTTTTGCGTAGTCCTTGCTAGTTGGGTTGCTGATAGCCTTGAGGCGAGATTTCAATTCGTCGAGCTTGGGCTGCTTAAGGGCAACGGAAAGGGTGATCCTATCCGATTGTTCGGGTCTACCCTGGGAAACCCATCCTTCAGGGACATTGACAACATTCTCGACCTGAGTAAGGGCGCTTCCGACAGAGATAATTGCAGATGCTGAGATCGCATACAACGTGAAATAGTTGGCGATCATGATGGCGGCAGGAATATTGAGAAGAACTCGAGTGAGAATCCACCAAATTCAACGAGAAAACGACTTGCACAAAGATTCCTGTCGGCTTTTAACCTTACCGGTGCAGGAATTACGAGGGATTAAACTCGTTGCCGCGATCCTAGTTAGGAAAAAAGTGAGGTCGGACGACTCTTGCATTTACATCCCAAGAGCTTGGGCGTTCATGTTGTCTGTTCTCTTTGACCAACCTAGTGTTTTTGGGATAATTCTTTGGCCTATGCGGCCGGTATTTCCTGCGGAGACCAATGCAATACATCATTTTCGGCACGTATCAATGGCAAAATCAGTGGTACCATCAGTTCAGCCATCCACCCATTCAGCCGTCATGCAATGACACGATGTTGGGGAGCGCTCCGGTTAACCACTTTCGGCATCGGCACATGAGTCAACCTGTACCTTTGCGGAACATTTTTCAAAATATGCCGAGGGGACTCGTTAAAGATTGTAGATAGACATGTAATATATAGCACTCGGCTCTGCAAATGGTAGTGGCATTGCGGGCATGAGGTCCGGGCTTACACAAAACACGGTGCCTAAACTTCGTGCTCGTGGTGGCTAACCACGGCAGCAATCTTCTCTTGACGGTTGGCAACCTCCTCCAACTGCGGTCTTAAAGCATCGGCTGCCTCTTGCGAGAAGTGACGAGCGCTTACCCGATGCTCGAAAAGCAAGTCAATCTCCGAGTACGTGAGACCAAACGGCTCCGGCAGTCTGAAGAACGTCCACGCGAGGAACAGGGCCGCAATACCAGCCCAAAAGAAACCACCCTTGGCGCCCCAATTCCAGTCGTTTGTTCCGATAATCTTAGGCTGAATGGCGTTGACGATGAAGCCACCCGAGTTGTAGAAGGCACGGGCGAGTGCGACAGTCTTGACACGCAGCCGAGTGGATGGCATCTCAGCCACGAGGGTGTAGCAAGATGGACCGACGCTGAGCTGGAAGAGGAAGAGCATCACGACGATGAGAGCTCCTACACCCCAAGACTTTGCGTTCGATTCGGCGCCGATGCCGAGTCCTCCGATGACAATGAGAATGATAACCATGGACGACAAGCCCGCCAAGTAAAGGGTGCGTCTGCCGATGTGGGTCATGATGTACCATGCGATGATGCATCCGATGAGACCGATGCAGTTCTGCACCAAGCCCATTGAGAATCCGCTTTCTTTGCTGAGACCGGCGCTCGTCATGAACTGCACACCATATCCCATGAAAGGGACTCCGCAGAAGGACTGGGTTAGCCAGACCATGCACGCAATCTCGGTGCGGCGGAGGTCGATGCCACGGAAGCAGTCCCAGTAGTGAGTTCCGGAGCTGACCTCAATCTCAAACTGGTTGGTAAGTCGCATCATCTCCATGTGGGCATCGAGATCAAAGTGGACGCCACTGTGAGGAGATGTCAAGCTGCGGACCGCTTCTCTTGCCTCCTCCATGCGGTTCTGGCGAACGAGCCACCAAGGGCTCTCCGGAGCGAACAAGGTGCCGATGATGATGGGGATAGGCCATACCCATTGAATCGCAAAGGCTGTATGAAAGTCAGCGAAGCGGTCGATTGTCAGTTCTTTTACCACTTACGAATGCGATAACCCCACTGATTATCAATCTGCAACAGACCACGAAGCATGCCGCTGCTGATGAGTCCTCCGATGACCCAGCACATGTTACTGCGCCCATTAGTTAACATGCGCGTCATCTGTGATGGGAAAAAAGACTTACACCCAGGACGTCATGTAGCCTCTGAGTGCCATAGGGCAGATATCGGCAGCATAGGTGACAGCCAAGGTCTGGAAGATGCCCCATGGTATACCCTGAATAAGAGCACCAGCAAGAAACATCGGGAGACCATTAGAGAAGAATGGAATGAAGACGGCACCAATCATCGCAACCATAGAGACGATCATGGTCTTCTTGTATCCAAGCCACTCGGTGATGAAGCCATTGAGGATGAGGCCAAGGATGGAGCCGACTTGGACACCGTTGTTGATGATTGTTTGCCACCGGGACGAGACGATCATTTCACCCTCGGAATTGATCTCGTCTCCATAACGGTTCGCAAAAGCCGGAAAGACGTAAAAATTGCTCATCAAGTTAGTGTCGTAACCCTTTGCGTGTTGTTAGTACCTCTCTATGACTGAGTATTCCAGGACGGGAGACAGCGTACCTCCATGATGATGGCCAAAGAGATGATGAACGAGAACATCACGGCCTTGGGCCAGAATCTAAGGGAGTCTCGAACGCTCATCCCACGCTCGATCTGCATCGCCGTGATGGCTTCGCCTTGGTTATGATCATTGTGGTGGCTGGCGGCTGGCACCGCATCGGCGCCAATGGCCTTGTCTTGCGACATGTCGAATCAGATTGTAAGGAATCGCCGAAGAAACCGGGCCGTCGAGAATGAGGTTATTCCCACATCGTGACAATAGTTGGAGAGGGCGCGACGTCGCATTTATAGACAAGAACGCGGGGGCTGTTCACACCCTGCAACGCAACACAACAGCTGCCATCTGAACAGGCCAGAGCCCAATCCAATCTCCTGGTATTGCCGAGGATGTGCGGAGAACCCAGACGAACCCATGATGGGGGCAGCGTTGGCATCGCACGTTTTGAGGACGAAAGCCGCACATCGAGGTGCTGATGGGAGGGTCCCATGGGGAATTCTCCGGATTGGAGACGATGGTCGGTCGAGACTTTTGGGGAAGCAACCAGGTGCCATCATTCGTCAGACGATTGTGGGTGACACGACTCAATGTTCTGAGCCGGGGTTGAGGGAGAAAACCGTCAGTATTCCGCCGCTAGCCCCAATCAAGCGTAGAATACCGACAGGGAGGGCCCTGGTCACTCGAACTCGGCCGGGTAACCAACGCGTGGTGAAATAGAGCAGCCCTGGGACAGTGGTTTTTTGGTGCCATTTTCTCACTGCCGTCAATACCAAACGCCCCGTCTGTATCTGTCCAACACTCGTTGCGCGCCGCTTGACGAGCACAGCGGCCTTTGCTCCGAGGTAACCTCCGCGGCATGCGGAAACCTTCGGCTTGTGCTGCATGTCGGTACATATTCGGTTGCCCCATCCTCTTCAAAGGACGACGTCCCTGCGCTGTAATTAAAGAGTTGCCTGACATGATCCTGCAGAGCCCGGCGGCGCAAATGCCACTCCAGGGAGGGCCTCGAAGACTGCATTTACTGCCACGAAAGGGGAATCAAATGCGTCCAGAAACCACCTCAAGGCGGGTACTACGAGCAAAGAGAGAATGAGCGCAAGAAAAATCAGGAAGAACAGGAACGGCAGCACCAACACCAAGGACAGACAAGTCCGTCACCCGGATCCCATGCCAGTGGCTGGTGCTCCCGATGTGAGACCACGCCGCATGCCACTCTGCCTAGTCTGCCTGTCCGGCTGGATCTGGTGAGACTCTACTTTGACTACATCCATGACCAGTTCCACTCCCTCTTTCACCGGCCAAGCTTTATTGAGGATGCTCTCGCCGACCGGGTGCCTCACGGACTCCTTTACGGCATCTGTGCCTTGTCTGCCAGGTGCGTTCCCCATGCGTTGCCAAGACTCATTGATAATGAAGACGGGCAGAGATCTGATAACAATCCAGATTCTCGACCGACCCCTCCTTCGCGGACATTGACCCGCGGGACAGAGGTCGTGTATATCTGACAGCTGCTGAGAAGCTGACCAACCTTCGCGATGTGTCGTTAACAACCATCCAACTTTGTGTGCTGGTGGGAGCCGCGGCAACAGCCGATGGGGATGGGGAAACGGAAAACATCTACTATGGCGTAGCATGTCGCATGGCACAGCTACTGGACCTCCCCAACCGACCAGCAACCAGCCTCTTGGAACGCGAGATCAATATAAGGGGTAAGACAATCCTCCGATGCCAAGTTCATCTGCAAGGCACAAGAAGCCCAACTGACAGGTCCCCAGTTTGGTGGTCACTCTGCATGATTGACGTGTGGTCATCCACCGCAGTCAAGCTGCCAAAGTTGCTACCGGCGAGATCCGACATTCCCCTGCCGATGGACGATCTGCCGTTCCTATCGATGAGCCGCAGCGTTCCTGCAGCACCCTTGTCGAACCAGAGCTCGCAGCATCTCTCGCAGATGGTGAGGCTGAATAGGATCTTGCTCGACATTAATGACTTTAACCAGCGTTGCGTGGCCGAGAACCCTAACTGGGACTCTCTGGAGCAGGGCGTGGAGACCTTGAGCTCTCGTATGGAAGCCTGGCTTGCAGATCTCCCGGACAATATGAGAGATACACCCGAGAACTTTGCCTGGTTCGCGGCACGAGGTCTCGGCCGGACCTTTGCTGCGGTGTACTTGGGATACTATCACTTTGGGCAGCTGCTTTACTATCAATTTCTGTACGGCGCAGCTGCTACAACGGCCATCAACCCTACGGCATCCGCGTCCGTCGCGCGCCGAGACTCGTATGCAAACAAATGCAAAGACCATGCCGCCCGGCTGTGCGACATGGTGTACCGCGCGCAAACAACAGCCGGCGCTGACGTTAGATATACCATGACGGCGCATGTACTGGTCATCGCATCCACGGTTCAGATCCACACCCTGTTGTTTAGCGGCAACGAGGCAGACATAAGCGTGGCTCGCCAGCGTTTAGAGAGAAATTTTGAGCTCATTTTGCAACTACGATGCTACTGGCCAACGACAGACCACGCCATCAGCCGCCTGCGAGCATTCCACGAGACGGCGCGGACCAGCATCGACACGAGCTTCGTCCTAGACCGTTGGATGCTCCGATTTCTGGTTGAGTTTGCGGAGCCAATGGAGGAAAAGGACGTCGGAAGTATCCGGCGCGGGGATGGAGATGAGATGGAGTCACTGTGGACGATGGAGGGGCTCCGATGAGGGGGTGGATTGTGTGGTGAAGTTGGGGAGCAGATTCTGGACTCTTGGCCCGTCGGCGGAGACTGAGCTCTTGGGTACTACATAGTGGACTTATTCGATCTTGCGCTCTCACATGCCACACACACGGCCATGAAGCCGTTCATATTCGTTACCTGGGGTGAGGTGAGGGACTCATCTTCCGAGAAATACGCCGGCAAGGGTTGCAAAAATTCTCATGAGCCAGTGACCACACGGCATAGCAGCGGGGTGCCTCCTTGGCAGCAGTTGCAGGTATTCCTTCCGATCATTTGCCAGGCCCTCCCCCCGAGATGCAGTGCTCAGGCCGTTTGACCAGCGGATCCGAATGACTCGGGGGGATGGTTGGTTGGAAACTGGGAGTGCGGAGAAGGCGGCGGGAAACTCGACGAGTATTCCGCCCCCTGTCGGCAACACGCTCCGTTTACACGACCTCACCGGCCAGTTGCCCCTCCGTGCCCCTCTCTTGGCGGCCGGCATCATGTAAGTCGGAGTCCGCGAAACGTGATGTTGGAGGCCACGACGGCGGGGCTGAATGGATCTGCTATGCTACCTTTGCTGACCGTCTGCTCGGTATAAGAACGGAAGCCCGAACGACTTTGTGCCTCTTTCATCGAGCCGAGCGACTAACAAGACCCATTGCTATCTCTCTGATCACACGACTGTCAAAATGACACCAAGATCGCTCGGTTTCGTGGCCGTTTTGGCATCGGCTAGCCGTGTCGCCGCTCTCATGAATGGGCTGGCTGATACACCTCCAATGGGATGGGTAAGTCTTTGGCAGCCTCTAGGTCTATGAGATTGGATGATTGACCACGACCAGAACAACTGGAACGCATTCGCCTGCGACGTCTCCGAGCACCTCTTGCTAAGCACGTCGGAACGCATCGTGAGCCTTGGCCTGCGCGACTTGGGATACAACCACGTCGTTCTGGATGACTGCTGGCAAGATGAGAACGGCCGCGATGCCAATGGCAAGCTTCAGCCGAACCTTGAAAAGTTCCCCAATGGCCTTAACCACGTATCCGATCATATCCACAAGCATGGCATGAAATATGGCATGTATTCCACAGCTGGCGAGATGACCTGCGCCAGATTTGGTAAGTTTATGAGTATGTCTCTATTCGTCTGACATCCTGATTGACCTTTTCAAGCCGGCTCTCTGGACCACGAGAAGGACGATGCTGAGAGCTTCGCCTCCTGGGGCGTCGACTTCCTCAAGTACGACAACTGTTTCCATATGGGCCGGATGGGCACGCCCGAAATCTCCTTCAACAGATTCAAGAAGATGTCCGATGCCTTGCAAGAGACTGGCCGACCCATTTCTCTCAACCTGTGCAACTGGGGCGAAGACTATGTCCACACAGTATGTCTGCTTGATTGCTTCTTCCTATGCCCCCATGGTCCCTGTTATTCCCGTCGTCCACAATGTCCTCTTCATCTCTTGTTATATCGGCTGATCCGGGAATCTGCTGACAATTGATCAGTGGGGAATGTCCATCGCCAACTCCTGGCGCATGTCCGGCGACATCTACGACTCCTTCACTCGCCCCGACGACCTCTGCAGCTGCAACACCGCCGCGGACCCCTTCTGCATTGCCCCTGGAACCCACTGCTCCGTCCTGTTCATCATCAACCGCGTCGCGGCCTTCGCAGACAAGTCCATCCCCGGCGGCTGGAACGATCTCGACATGCTCGAGGTCGGGCAGGGCGGCATGACGGACGAGGAGTACAAGGCCCACTTCGCGCTCTGGGCCGCGCTCAAGTCGCCCCTGATGCTCGGCAACGACCTCCGCGACATGCCCGCCGAGGCGCTCAGCATCGTCAACAACCCCGCCATTATCGCCATCAGCCAGGACCCCCACGGCCGTAGCGCTCTTCGAGTCAGGAGGGATGTCGGCGGTGGCTTGGTGCCGGACGAGTTCGGCGTCGCGGAGGCGCAGGTCTGGAGCGGACGGTTGGAGAACGGCGACCAGGTCGTCATCTTCCTCAACGCCGCGGGCGCGGAGGTTGACATGGAGTCGACGCTTGCGGAGATCTTCGTCGCTGATGGCCCTGGAGGCTCGGCGCCGCAGGTTAAGTACAAGTGGGCTGTTCACGATCTGTGGGCGGACCGCATGCCGACGGAGACGGCGCAGGCGCTCTTTGACGCGGAGAGCGACGACGCTCGGGTCAAGATCTTCAGGGATGCGAACTGGTATAACGCCACGGAGATTCCGTACGCTGTCGGACTGGAGAAGGAGGACCCGAGGTTGTTTGGCAAGAAGATTGGCGATGTTGAGCCGAAGGGGGTGTTGAAGGCCACTGTGCCTAGCCACGCGGCGAAGGTCTTCCGGCTCAGGAGGATCGCGCAGCCTGGGGATGGGTTCAAGGCGAAGAGCCATGACCGCACAAACAGAGCAATCAAAGACGAGCTCTGAGGAGTTCGCGTATGAGCCATAGGTAGGTAAACGGATATGGAAACTTCGCATCGGGTTTGTCAGATTTAGTAGTCGTTGCGGAGGAAAGTGTTGCGACTTGTACAGGGTCGATAGAGAGAATATCGAGTAACATCATAGATGGTTGACATTCACCCTGGCCAAACGAAGAAAGCTAATACATGATCGCGGTTGAGACGACCGTGGAAACGACGACCCGGTCTACGAGAAAACCTTGATTAGGTATTTAGATCAAAGATCAAAGTGATGAAGAGACTATGCCATAAAAAGCCGACATCTTGTTTTAATCAATCCATCAGCTGTAAAGGGGCAATAGCGAAGAAGGACAGTCGCTCATGCTACAGCTCATGCCACAGTCGTAGACGACTGTTTCTCAACCCTGTACACAACGGTCTCTCGTTGAACATGCGTCCAATATCGAAAATCACGAGTTGCAGGAAGGCAGCATAGGACTCCGACAGCAAGAAAGAGAGAGACCATGGCGAGCGATCAAGACATGGGCGGTTCGGGCAAACAGCATCACTCAGACACTACGGACTGGCTGAGAACCACGGCCGACAAGACGAACCATAGACAGAAGTCTCATCCACCTCAAAGGAGGCTGAACACTTTCAAAACGCTTCGACCGAAGAATTCAAGAAGCATTCGGCTGCCTGAAGATGGAGGCGAGTCTGGAAGCCAGCCTCGATCGGCACAGCCCGACGACTCAGCCACCGACCGCTTGCCTATCATTGGGCCTTAGAAAGCCGACAAGACGATTCTGCTGCCATCAGGACCCAGCGAGAATCCGAAGGTCGTCATAATTGAGACCAGGACTCGTTCAGCAACGAGCCGTGGGACAGAAGCGAAGCCCCTTGATGCCGAGCACCCGCGCTCGCCTATTCAAGCATGTCGTGTCTCGATCCCCAAGCACCCCTGAACGTCCACCGTGGCCATCGTGCTCCTGAATCGGAAACCGTTCCCATCCAAGTTTACGGGGGCCGGAGGAGAGCGAAGAAGGACCTAGGTTTGTGACCGGAAGAGGCCGCCCCCATCGGTGGTCGAGTGTCTGAGCCACAGACGCGGGCCGGTTCAACATCAGGCAGAGACCGGGGGGTCCGATCGTCGTTGCCGTCAAGCTACATAGATTAATCCTGTAGGATGGTTTCGATGAAGAAACTTCTAGGTTCATGTCGCAGTTTAGCATGTTGATGGCGGCTAGAAAAGGTTCCGTGGCTTCGAATATTCTCCTTGTGTCACTCCATAACGTAGCGGAAGCGCATCATCGCCAAATCCTGTGACCAAACGGATGCAGAATCTCGCCAAACTTGATTAGATGTGACCAGAAGACGCCCGCCTCGTGCAGAAATGCCGCGAGAAGATTGATTGTTCTTCTGTTGCCTGTACGCTGCTGTGCTCAAAATCGCTTCATCCTCGTGCTTCTCGTGCGCTGCTCTCAGTGCGTCTCTCGGAGCACCAGAGCAACGCAAATTCTCAACCCCGGTAGATTATCCGAGGGACTTGCAGCCACAGACTCATGATACGCCCCTCCTCCCTGGTAATTACGAGAATCACGCCTCGAGGGATGTCTGGGATGACCCCCTTCCCTCCAGCCTAGGACAATCTGCGGGTGGATCCGTGGAAAAGGAAAACATGGAGAGGATGAGAGAGAGTGAGAGAAGAAACAGGGCTAGATCGCTGCGAGCGCACGGCAGGCGCCCCAATCCCTCGGGGCTTGGCTACGAGAAGGGGTTGGGCCAATAGAGGATCTTGACGAGCGAGACTGACTCTGATCGAGACCTGCATGGGGTGGCATGTCTGGCCGAGAAATTGGGTGGCAGAGCGCCCCCTCATCCCCAAAAGTGATCAGCCACGGTGACCAGCTATTCTTCGAACGATGGAAGAGAACATCATTACAGGACTAGGGTGGAGGGAGTGGCACCTCGTATGCTTCGCAGCAGTGCAAGGCCTTATGTTAGTGAGCTGCGACAACGTCGTGCGGTTTGGGATTGAGTGGCCAGACATGCAGTGATGTCGTCAGTCTCGTATCCTTTTTTGCAGAAGCACCGCTGTGGTCACCAATCTTGGGTGTTCGTGCAGGAAGCCCAGATATTATTAACTCCTGTCATCAAATTTCAGGCTTGTATTGGTACGTGGTCGTGGGAAGCGTCAAGAATTGAAGCTTCAAGTGGATCGTGCCGTTCGTCTGGTGACATAGCCTCCAGTAAGCAATGCTGAGCCAAACTCGCACAGAGCACGATTTGCATCCCGTTGCTTCCTTCTCGGGGGCTTCGAGGCAGGAGAGAGGCGCCTGGTTGGTTGCCAGTTATCTGGATCCAACGCCTCACGGCTCTGGTGAGATCATCGCCCGATGATACAGCATGGGCTGGAACTGTTCAGGCGGATAGGTGATCCGCGACCGCTGCGCGGGTTGTCAATGACGCTCGCTCGCTATTCCTACCGGGAAGCCGACACTGACAGAGCTGGGCGAACGAGGGTGTAGCAAGCAACCACCGTGTGCTAGAGCAGTTTGCATCATCTGATGAGTATTCACACTCAAGATCATGCAGCTTTCCACTGCTCTCTGTCATCGTTCTGGTCGGTGTACGGGTGCATGCATGGATGCCAAATGGGGGGGGGGGGCCCTCGGCGGGAATCTGGAGAGTCTCTGGTCGCCAAGTCTGGTGCCCATCCACCTCGAGTGCGACGGTGCGGTGGGAGATGTTCTCCCCGGAACCCTGGTTTTCGCAGTGCAAGGTCGATCGGACGGGGACAGCAAGGTTATGCTTGCGGTCGATCACTGATCGCTGGCTATCCCCGGCCAGAAGCCGCCGAACGATGCTCCGACGGGGCGCGTCGTCAGTGTCGTTCGTCCGAAAGAGCGCGAGGACGAGCGTGGCATAAACAAACATGCGGCGGTATGGGAGGGTTGCGAGCCGCAGCGAGTAGACGTACCCAAGGCGCGAGCAGCACACAAGGATAGGGAGAATGAAACGAAACGTCAGGTTGCCTCTGTATCGTAAGCATCCAGAGTGGATGGGCTGAGTTTAGGTCATCCGTCATCTCTTTTTCCACGTGGTTGCGAATCAAACAGACCAAATGGTACAGTTCATAAGTTGGACAGGTCCAATTGTAGAAGAAGCCGCTGGGAATGGGACTGAAGACGGGCAGTCGAGATTGTGACCGGCAGTTTCACGGGCCAGCCAAGCCATTGGGTTGGTGACCCCGTTCGCCCGCTTCCCCGTACGAGAGCCAGAAGCGACTGGGATCCTGAAAGATCTGGGACCACGGCAGGCTGATTCTCTGTTGCTCAAGATATCGCCGTCAGTCGCACGGTGGCTCGCTGCGTCCGCGACCATACTATGGCCTGCCATGTTCGTACTGCAGCCAGCCGTGGGGGCCTCCCCTGGTCATGTCAACAGGTGACTCTCGGTGGGTTCGTGACGAAGGTGATCCTTGATGTCAGGATAGACCGAGCGTTAACCCGGAAAGAATTGCGTTGACCGTGGCTCTAGCCATAGCCTGGTCGTGGAAAAGGCCAAAGACTGAACTTCCTCTTTCTTCCGAATTTCAATATCAAACATGATGGGCCGGGGGCATCTCCACGCCATGCCAGCTTCTTACAAGCCAACCAACCAAGCTGACACCATTTAGCGCCACGAAACGCCCTCTTTTCTTATTTCAACAACCGCCCCACTCTGTTAATTATTTGGAAGCTTCTTCTTGGCAACTGGCCAGGACACGAAGAAGCCGAGTCCAGCATGTCCAGTGTTCTGGACATGGCTATGCCCCGTCCAAAAAATTCGGTCGTGTCACACGCCCAGGCTTGCGAGACCGTAGACGACACAGCACGGTGCCGGAGGCACACAGATCCTCTGGAAGTCCTACGGCAGCCGCTGTTTTTCTTTCTTCTGGTCACTGATTGGTCGCACACGCCTTGCTGCAGGATCGTGGAAAAAACCGAGATGAGGTATGCCGACGGCAACTCGCAGGATGCCACAGAGCCATCCTGTGCAACTAAGCCATTTCCACGCCAAAATGTTGTACCAGAGACATGGCTCTCGTTCTGGTCGTCATGAGATCGTGTGACAACTAACGTTTGCCATATTGGTGACAGAGGACCAATCGATACAGACGGGCGAAACTGGGGGTACTAGGTAAGTTAGACCTGAACCTGGGGATGTTGAACCTGGGGATGTCAGAAAACGGGGGTTGACTCTGAAAGCCCCCGATCAACTTGTCCTCTGTCACATACGTAGGTATCATGATGCTAAGCGCGTTCGGAATTCTGGGCTTTGCCAGCAGAGTAGGACGTCCAGTTCCAGTTCCAGTTGCTTGCGCCTCGTTGTTGGCAGCAGCTGTGCTGGTTGATTCGAGAAACAAAACCCAACAAACGGGAGCGCACAGGATCGGGTGCTCCATGCACCCGCAATCCAAGCTTCTTACGCTGGCTGCGAGCCAGTCACATCGAAAGTTGTCTGGAGCCCAGGTCAGAGCATCTTGTCGACAGACGCCGGCACAAGCAAGCCGAGTTGGCACACCCAAACCCAGCGGCCGGGAGCAAACAGTTGAAACAAGTCTTGCTGTGCCTCTTGTCTTCGATCCACGGGGACGACATCCAGACATCCAGAGGGCTGGGTCGCGGGAGAGAAATGGATTGGTCACGCCCTACTGCTATTGTTGTACAACGGCCAAAGGCGCAAGCGGTATAACGTCTTTTGGCGAATGCGCATGAAAACGTTGGTCTCGCCTTGGATTGTTTTCGAAATTGCAATCCGCACCGACTTGGCAAGAAGCATGGACGGCATGCTCGTCGTAGTGTCAGTTGGTTTTCGGCTTCGCTGATTCCGTGCGTGATGGGCAATGACACGCCCCGTTGCAGAGGAAGCGACCCTCCCGAGCTGATGCATGCAAGCGAGGCGTCACATTTGGCAACTTCTGCCTATCGTTAATCGGGGCAGAGTGGCAATCTCGATTCCGAACTGAAGCAATGTCACTGTGAT